AGGGGTCAAGGTGATGTTAATTCCAGTATTCACACTGACCTCACTGGTGCAGCTGTTTTTAAAGCTGCTTTATCTCTCCTGCTTCTCTCCTGGGCTGCGAGCTGCAGAGGTTACTGACGTTATAATGGTTTATTCGGCTTTTACAAATGACATTAAAGAAGAATAATGACAAGAGCGTGTGGTAATCCTCTGTACACAGCATCATATTTATTGAAAGGTGAGTTCATGAAACAACAGCGCTGTTTCTCAGCAGCTACAGAACAGAGTAGTTCATGCACTAAATCACACGCCATAAACAAACGAAACAACACACTGTTGTACAAATAAACACAGACACTTCGCCTCTGTCTTTTTTTAAACGCTCGGCCATTCCTGCAGTTCTCTTTCTGCATGTTCAGGATACAGAATCACAATTCTTTGATCTTGTCGGAATATTTTTTTTTAGATTTGTTACAATGACTTTAAGACAAACAGAACAATTGTTTTTTCAAAAATAAAATAAACGCAGATCTACACACAGTCATTCGAACACTCCCAGTTTGATGAGCAACCACAGTGCGCGTTCGGGAGGCCGTTTTCAGCGACGCCGTGCTGACGAGACGTTTATGTTCAGCTCGCGGTTTCTATAGATTATGTAAACACACACGACTTCAAAGGTTCAGTGGCCTTTTATTACCTTTTAAAAAGACAGATGATGAAAAAATAGATTTAAAGGGCGATTAAAGGGATGTAATAATAGTTAGAATGCTACACACATTTCACTCAACCTCAGTCCTGTAATAAGAATTATCTGTTACAAGTAACATCTTTGTGTTAAAGAGGGACAACCGTAAAAAATATAGTAGTATAGAAATGAAATGTTTTATGGTGCCAGTTAGTTAAAAGTAGGATATTAAAAGACATCCATACGCTGGGTTAATTGGTGACCTAATTGTCTAAAGGTGTGGATGTGAGTCCGTCTCTGTGTGTTGACTGGTAACCTTAGCACCACACCCCCACCCGCCTGACCCACTAAAGCATAAGCAGGTTAGGTAATGGTACTAAACCATATCACATAGATAAATCCTTATGTTTTTCATCATATACTGAATATGAAAGGAGGACATAGCTGCAGAGTCTGAAAAGTGAAGCCAGAGTGGATCAAACCTGCAGTCTGACTCCTCAGGATTCAATAAAATGTCACATTATGTAGAAGTCTATACACTCTGATGTGAAAGCGTTCCCTCCCTTCATTACCTCAGTAAACACTTTCCTGATAACTCTTACAGGTTAGCTTCAGTTCTTATCAAATACGACATGTTGTTCATTTTATCAATTATAGTTCTGATTAGAATCAAAAAGAAAGAGAAAGCTGGGGATACTTTAGAGCAGGGGCATCAACTCTTGAAACCAGACACAGAGAAGGCCAACAAGCTCAGTTCAAGACTTCACGGCAGAACTTTACAAACCACAGGGTGATGTGGTGACTATGTCCATCTTTTATATACAGTCTATGTTTGTTATAACATTGTAGAAAAACACAGACGTAGTTTATCTGAGCAACCACACAGCACAGGAAGTGTGTATGTCTGCAACACGGCCACACTGTTGTGCACTTCAGAAAATAAAACTCCTTCCTTCGTCCACTTAAAGACAAATATGTTGTTCATGCACGCTAACCTGTTGATGCTTTGATAAACATTACTGGTCCATTTTGGTTAGAAGCAGGTGCAAAACTCTGCTAATGAGAGGCAGCTTTTATCTGCACACAGACACGCAAAGCTCAGTGTCCACCGTCACCCTCGACCCTTCCATCCTGACTGTTTGATCAGGAGGTGCACAGAGTGAACGTGACGGGTGGCGAGGAGCTACTGACGGTCAGTGTGCGAGTGAACTGCCTTCATATATGCTCAGAAAACTCAGACTACACCCAATCAATACAGGACTGATACATTATCTGTACTTAGGGGTCAAAGATCAAATATCTCACTGGCTGATGAGATGCTACATCCATGTGCGCATGTGTGTGTGTGTGAGTCAGCAGGATAAGACAGCTCTTGATAACCTGGAGTAACCCTTGCTTCATGTCTCCAGCAGAGCTTAGAGCTCGCACAGAATAAGATCCTATTGAAGTGACTCACTACAGTTGGGGCTTTGGTTTCACTCTGAGGTGGTTCAGCAAAGAACCGTAAGATTAGTCTTTTTTTTTTTAAACGTTTCTTGGAACGGCGGCTCTCACACAAAACTGCAGAAATCTCAAATCTTTACGATTCACTACAAGGACTATAAAAATAATACAGTTTCACATCAAAACAAAATGATAATGCTTCACTCGAAAACCGTTCTAAATTAGAGATAAATAGCCAGTAAATATTTGAAGTAGAGCAAACGATAAATAATATATTTCTTTCCAGCTAGTATAAAAATAGTTGCTACACACTTTTTCCACTCTGCCATGCTCTTGCATAACATGACAGTGACTAAATATTTCACGCACAATCCCTGACAGGCAGCTTTAAGGGATAATTTACAGCGTAAAGTTGCCTTTACAACTACACGACGAGTCTTTACAAAACAATCTGTCTTCATTTGCTTTCTGCTCACAGCTAAAACTTGCTACAATGTATCCTCTGAGGCTGATAAAGCACAAAGTTGTGCCTTAAAGAGTCTTATGGAGTCTCATACGTTTATTGTCTGTATTAAGCCAAGTATCATCCACAGTATATGTGTATATGAGTATTTTAAACTCAAGGGACACTTTGTTAGGTCCACTTTTGCCTGAAGAACTGCCTCGGTGCTTCATTGCATTAGTTTCATGAGCAGTTGCACAGGTATATCTAATAAAGTGGCCAGTGAGTGTAGTTT